TGTTCAGGACTTCCGCCTCGGCATACTCCCATGCCGTATTGTAGGCTTCCTGATAAGAGGAGGGTGGCCTTCTACAGAATTCAGTGTAGAGGTCACCTGACCGGAAGGCATTCATCAGTAAAGACATGGCCGTCTTATCGTCCATCTCTTCTACCTTGTCAACCTCGTCCCTCCAGCGGGTTAAGAATTGAGTCAAGGACTCCTTCTCCCTCTGCCCTACCGTGTTAAGGTAGGTGAACTTCTTCCTCTTGATGCAGTTGTCCTGGTACTTCTTGCGGAAAACTTCAGCAAGTTTCTCAAAGGACCCAATCTTTCCATGGGGAAGGCCGTTAAACCATTCCACTGGTCTCCCTCTCAAGGATGAGAAGAAGAGCAAGCATTCCTCAGCATCAGTGCACCCGGCCATCTGTGCTGCATTGTGGAAGGTGTCAAGGTGGATATTTGGATCCTCCTTTCCAGTGAATTTCTCCACGTCTAGCTTGACCTTCCGCCTCAATTTTTGTGCATGTACCCTAGCTGAAAAGGGTGATTTGGCCAGGGTGTGCTTCTTTGCTCCCGCCTTCTCGTCCACCTTTTCCTCCAGGGCACGTAGCTTTCTTGCTACGCTTCCTATCTTGTCCAGGTCATCCTCATCATATGAGAGCCTGGTATATGCCGATGCCCTGGGCTGGCTTTCAGCTTCCTCCTCGTCTAGGTGAATCGTCTCAGATTCCCTAGAACGACGAGATTGGGCGGGACGATTCCCTCCAAGTCTTTCCATTGCGCTAGTCCGGCCCATCTCAGGACCAAGACGTAGCTTGGCAGACTTGCAGGGCCCATCCTCTTTGTCCCCTAGGCGTTTGAACGCCGAATCTCGGGTCTTGCTGGGTTTGGCTATAGCCTTACCCTTCCTCCTGCGGGCCGCCTCTTGCTCTGCCTCATCGACCTCATGGACATTTGAGGGTGCTGCTTCATTAATACTCCCTCCGTGACATAAGCTTTTCCCATTACGCGTTACGAGCCTTGACCGACTTTATTTTCATTTCAATTTAACTAATTATAGAGTAAAATTTTAAAATAGAATTTATATAGTACGGACTAATAAACTACATGAAAAGTTCTACAAACTAGAGATGACAAGACTATATTATTTTACGAAATGACTAGTAAA